AAAAAATGCCAGGTGAAAACTCATCACTGACAGACTTTGCGACAACAGGTTCACAATCATCTTGATCACATGTTTTGGCTAAAGGTGAAAAAACAGATACTTCCATAGCATATCGTATTCTAGAGGAATTTGAGTAAAATTTGTTGAAGACAACTTTAAGTTGAGTTGAGTTTCCAGAATAAATCAGGTGAGGATAATTAGATGCAGCTTCTTCTTTACCAGAAATTGAAAACTAACAATAAAGTAAAAGAAAACATTTTAATAGTTCTTTTTGAAAATTCTTATAAGAAAAGTTTATTATTGTCAGTTGAAATAACATGTTAAAACAAAGAAAACTAAATGACATTATTAAATACAGTAAAGTCTAAGACAGAATCATTTAATGTCTCATTCTTAAAAATACAAAGTTTAAGAATTTATCACATTATTGCTATCCTTTTCTACTTGGACAGTGTTTTCACATGAACATTTAAAATTGAGTAAAGCAACCCCATTATAATATTTTCAAACATGCACTTATAATTTGGTTTTAAAGTATTTAAAAAAATATGGAAACAAATATAATAAGGAGCCATTATTACTCATCATATGATAAAAATCTTATACATATAATAAATATTTTTGAATACTTACCTCAATTTCAAATGTCCCTCCTTTCGAAAAAACTGTTTCATCACCAGAAGAAACTAAATTTATATGAGCAAATGTTTCAGAACAGCTTATAGAACTATTTGTTACATTGTTCCATTGAAAATTTTCCAAAGCTAAGGGAACTACTTCACTTATTTCATTTATATCTGAAGAATCTTTTTCATAAGAATTTTGCCACAGCTAAAATATAATTAGTAAACTATTTTATCTAATAACACAAACAACAATTTAATTAAAGTAATATTATGTACAGAAATGCATGGTATACATCACGATTGATCACTAATCATTAAATGGTTGCCAAGCTCTGTAGACAACGACACAATAGTATATAAAAAAAACTAAGAAACTAATTAAACAGAGCCATCTCCAGACAAGCCACAATATATATTTAAACTTATGGCTAGTACAAGAAACATGTATTAACACCTAAACAATAGCAGTTGGTACAAACAGGCACCAATATGAAAATATTATTGGGTAACAAGATCTGTATTTTATGCTAT